CTCGCCAGATTGCCCCCAATGTGGCTTGCCAGAAACTTCCGTACATTATTGGCTTGCCTGCCCGCAATTCACACGGGCCCGCCAAGAGCTAGGTCGTCTCTTAACCTTGGACCTCACGATCGTCCGTACCTTAACTCCGATATACTCAAGGACTTTAAACTACGAGGATAGCCAGATCCCGTATATTTGTTAGCGTGACCTTGGATCTATGTGACGTCACAGCAAGCCCTCTACTTCAACATGACAGATCTTTCAAATAACAAAATACGATAAAATATTAAATCATTTCTTAATTAATTATTAAATTACTACTAAATGTAAACTACTGTAGAATTTTCGGATTTAATAAGTGTACTGTACGTCAATAAATTTACAAGTCTTTTGTCTAATATTTATTTAACAAATTAATGAGCTATATTTTTTATTATGTGATTATCTTACTTAACTTTTTAATTTTTTTTCGACAATCACCATTTTCAGAAGGCATTCTTTTCAATATTTTATAGTTTTCTTGTTTAAGATTTCTATAATTAATTCTTATTATAGTTCTTAATTTACAAAAATCTTTTATTAAAGTAAAAGGTAAAACTGTTTCCACTGACTAATTCTGTACAACTCCGGGGCCTTTTTTATACGATTCATCGTGATATATTTCGAAATATTTATTCCATTCTATAATTTTTGCTAGCCATTCATCAGTAGGTTTAATAAGCCCTCCATAAGATAAATGTTGCACCCATGACGGAATGCTATAGTTGTAATGATTTTTAATTTTGTTAGTGGAATTAATTAAGTTTGGGTATTTTTCTTTATATTTATAGGCAAAATATCCTGCTATATACTCGAGAGCATCGTAGGAAGTTTCTTCAGAGATTGTGTTAAAGTCTAGATTGCATGTAGAGTTTCCTGAAGATTTATTTGAAGAAAAAGTAGTTTTACATTCAGTATATTGGTCTGTATTTTCACTTGATACTTCTACATGTGCTTTCTCTAAAACTTTGGGTATAATATATTCCTCTTGTCTTCGATCTGTAGTATTTACTTTTGACTCTAAAATACCAGGATTCTTACCTAAAATAATCAATCTAATCCTATATATAGCATTTAATGGGCTTGGATGTTCATTAGGACCCCGGCTTCTATTTTAAAAAAAAAAGTTTTCCAGACAATCTTGATTTAAATTGTGAGTGCAGATGTATTTTATATCAAAAGTCGATTTCATATCTTGAAAAAGATCAATTAGCGATTTCATTGAGATTATCATTCCTTTCTGGAAAATTTGGAGGGCATTTTTTCCACTTGCTCTCATTGTTGAGATTATTTTTATCATTTTATTTAAATGTTCTTCTTGTAATTCCAAGTCTACACCATATCCATTTTTGCTTGGAACAGAACCTTTTGGTGCATAGCTATTAAAAATGTCGAACCACATATTTATATCTCTAATATACGTTTCATTGATAATAATAATTGATTCATAATAAACGTTTCATTGATATTCACATTCAATTCTTTCCATAAACTTATGTTACTGCAACTACAGTCACTGACGCAAGCTACTACATTATACGATAGTAAATAAAGTTCTGCTATTAATTTTAAAAGTATTTCTCTTGTCATTTTTTGATCAAACCCGATGTAAACAGGTTGCTTCCAATTTGAAAAAAGAAGGTTATTATTGCAACCATACACAGCACACCTAGTACTCAGCATTTTGTTCTTCACCTAACATAAAAATATAGCTTTAAATATTTAATGACTTATATTTAAATCATCTTACCTTATAAAAAACTTAGTCAAATAAAACAATTACAGAAATATTAAAATAAATCACTTCGTTAATCACAAAATTGGACGAATATTAAAAGCGAAAACTAAACACGTGCACACCCTGCTCTATGTAAACAGAGAGGTCGGGACTCGTGCTGACGTCACTAACTTGCCATTCCTGGCTAACATTGTAGAATAGGGATCTGGCTATCCTTGTAGTATATAGTCCTTGCGATATACTGGCCTCATACCGACCTTCATCCTCGCCAACATATCGAAATCTTGGAGCGTTTCGTTCACCGCACCAACCGCTTTACCTAATTTCAAAGCGGAGTAATTCGGAGAAAAAGCCAATAGGATAGAGTCTCGATATTAATGACAAAGAAAGAAAGAAAGAAGATAATCGACACTTGTGTTGTTTAGTGGGTACGGCTATTTGAGAGGTTTTCTTCCATAAAATTAATCAAATCTGGACTAATTTCACTCAAATATTTCCAAAACGCGTATAATTTGTTGGAAATGATCGATATAAATATGCCATGAGCAAAAAATTGTAGGAATACTTATCGAGTGTACCCCGTTCGAAGACGCCATTGCTTGTTTTCGTCGCGGAGCGGCACATCGGACGGCGGACGCATAGGAAGCGTGTCACGTGACATTTGTGGGTGCTATTCGGTCACGTGACTACTCATCTGACGTATTACTCTAGAATTTAGTCTAGATTTGATTAATTTTATGGAAAAAACCTCTCAAATAGCCTTACCCACTAAACAGCACAAGAGCCAAATAATCTTCCATCGGACAGACATGATTATCATTAATCTTTTTCAAATGTAGCCTTATGATTCATAAACGTATTAAATATAGAACAACAAAATTTATCTGATTTATAATTATAGCAGGTACTTTCTCACCGTATGAATCAATTTTCGATTAAATTTATCTAGAAATCATTATATACAGAATATTTATAACAAAAGTACTTACTAAAAGTTTCAGTTGTCCGACTGCAACCAATGGCGAACCAAACTTGAATAACCTTACTCACGTGTTGACCGTTACCAACCTGCTGTGTACCTAATCCGAACTTAGGAAATAAACCCGTCCAATTTAGGGGTCGAAGGGTTAAATTAGCTTAAAATCTCATCGTCTAATTATATTTGGTCTTTCGCATCGGAGCAGTGTTAAATAAATATATATAAATAAGTTTTGAAATACAATATAAATGATTTATTGTCATAAGCGGAAATGCGTGATATATCGAACAATGTTGTCAATGTGTGTTCTGCGGTCCCCGAGATGTTGCAATGTGTTGGTCCAGTCCAAAACTCCGGGTACGTTCGTAAAGTCGAACGAGTTAAACTAAAATAACGTTATCGTTACTCTTATTTCGTTAGACTTTTCGAACGATTCGTTTATAACTAAATGAATGTTTCTAAAATCGAAGATACGAATGTTGCTAGTGCAGCCTTATCCAAAATATTTTTTTTTTAGATTGCTTCGGGTAGACAGTTATTTCTATCAGTTTACCTTTTAACAGTTTCACTCGAGTAGATTTAGAAACATCGATGTCGTTGGGCGCCATTTTCTTAACGGGGTTACCCTGTTCAGTGGTAGCCTTCTTTGCCATAAGGTCTGCCCTATCGTTGTTCTCGATGCCGCTATGACGCTTAACACGGTGATTTTTACACCTATGAACTTGCTCTTATATAAATTTTCTATATCTTTATTCAATTTTTTCTTAANAACTCACAAACGCAATGAATGAATCAATATTAGATTGAAATTTATGTTTGAATGTTTCAGGCTGAGACCGTAATGATTGAAAGTTTTTCTTAGCAGCAGCAAAAGCATATTTCACAAATTCACTAAAAGACATATGATCAAATTCTGATAGCTTAACACGGTGATTTTTACACCTATGAACCTTGCCTTTATATAAATTTTCTATATCTTTATTCAATTTTTTCTTAATTTAATATCATGATACTTGTCTTTAGTTAATTGTATATAGTTTTGACAATTAATGTTTATAATGTGACAATTATAGTTTTGACAGTTAATGTTGCATTCAATCCCTTCCTCATTACATCCCTGTTATGCAGTGATGCACATGTCCCGGAATATCGTTTCGTATTTTAAAGGGAAGAAAACTGAAATTACATATTTAGTTATTCTTTACAATTACGTAATTAAGATGCAATTTTAAAATTTCAGACATAAATTCCTACTGTCGTTCGTCCTTCGTTAAACTCGAGATCGGAGTTAAGATAGGTGAAAATCGAGACCCTGTTTTATATATGAACTTCCAGTCTGGACCGGAAGTCACATGCTGCAGCACGGCATTGTGACTATGTTCAATTTTAGCTGTGGTTCTTAGTAAAACAGAAGATGGCTTTTATAAACTTGATACTAAAACAGGTGTTTTAAAACAATTGTATGCAAAATCTGAATTCAGTGTTTGCAAAGAGAGATTTTTAACGAAAGAAGATGGATGTCCCTGCTGTAGAAATATCTTTACGTCAAACAGCAATAAAACAATCCCTTGGTACTGGGCAGGGTTTCAGAAAATGTGACTGCAAATCTAAATGTACCACAAATAGGCGTGCTCGTCGCAAAAACCAATCGCTATGTAATTCAAAGTGTCACCAATCTTTAGATTGCACTAATAAGTAAGTACAATTTTACCATGTTTTGCAAATTCATTTCCTTAATTGTAGTAATATTTTAAACCGTTTGATTTTTGTATTAAAGTTTTTTAATTGATTGATGATTGATTCAATCAACTAATTTGTTGATTGTTTGATTGTTTTAACTTTAGATATTGAAAATTAAATAAATAACATTATGTTAATTTAAGCGTACAGAAAGAAACGTTGCTGTTGTTCCAGCAAAGATCTTATTTTTACTTTACCGAGTGTCTAGTAGGTAATTCGCAGATTACCTAGGTAATTTGAGAAATGGAATAATTTTCGCAGCTTTAACGGATCACCCTAGTTAATCTGCAGATTAGCTAGGTAATGTACACATTAACGGATTTCGAGCTTTAGCGGTAACACATCTACTACTAAAAGCAAATAATCAAAATCTCATGGTCATTCAACAAATTTAATATGAATAAAACTTTGAAAAAAATTTTTTTGATGATTATCTTATATAATTTATACAATAAATTTTAAAATTTTAAATATTCAACTAATAAAATACAAAAAAATCATATTTGACTTTAATTTCCAGATTAATTTATAAAATACAATATAAAGTTTTCTTTATTCAACTTTTTTCTTTACTTTTTGGCGCTAATGAAGTAAAAATATCGTAGTAAAGTTTGTTTACAACAGCTTTTATACCATGATTTCGGAATACTTCTTTCAGTGAGCGGAAATAGTTGGAAACTGAGTCACTCTTTTCTCCAATAGCTTTTTTTGACTTGTCAATATATTTATCGAGAAACTTGGGACGTACTTTATCATATAATTTTCCCAATCCGTCTTTCATCTTTTCCATGTAATCTCTTAACGGTTTGAAACTGTCTCTGATATCACGTTTTGATCTGTAAAGAATAGTCACATTTTAGAGATTATTTTGGAGTTTTCAAATGTGTAAAAAAAATACACTTACGGCAACGTTTGGTAAATAGCTCGTACTTTTCTGGATGCGAGACGAACGTTATTTTCTAACTCTTCCTCAAATTCTAAAATATCTGGCCAAACATCGCTATTAAACGTTGGGTTAAAATCGCTTAATTTTGTTAAAATATATTCTTTTACAATAATTCCCATTAAATTTGTATAATTTACGAAATTTAATATTGAATCCTGAAAAAAAAAAACAGAAAAAAAGCATAGAATTTTAAAATAGTAAAGGATAAATTGGTTTAAACGTTAAAAATTATTGGTACCGAAATGATTGTAATAACGGCAGTCTCCAATGATTGTAATGAAGTTTCATCAGACGTCGTAATTAGGAATTTGTTTATGTAACTATTAAATGTAATCAAAAAATCTGTAATTTTCTTATTATCATAAAATGCATTTGCAGTTAAAGATAACAGATTACTTTTGTCAAAGTTAATACAGAAATGATACTTGGTTTCTTTTGTCTTATCTAAAAGAAAGTTTTAAAATGTAAACGATTATAAAAATATAATAATTAATTTCAAAATTAAGAAAAAATTAATTAATATTATGTTTTTGGCTTTACAATAAATACGTCAAGGTTATAAAATATAATTAATTTTAATAAATAAGATTGATAGTTCAGGATCATTAGTCAATTAAAAGTTAACAAGTTAGTATTTATTTTACTTATACTGTATGAACTTTTATTAATTAATTTAGCTCGATTTTGTAAACATAGGTGTGTGTATATATAAAGAACAGCAAAGTTTCTACCCTGTAAATTTTAATTTTTTTCGGAACAAACTCGAAAACAGCTGCAATTTAAGATCTTGTAACACAAAGAAGCATGACTGACCATGACCATGCTGCTTGTTACAAGATCTTAACAGTGTTTATTCAGATTAGAACCTCTAAATTCTGGCAAGCTAATAACGTATTAACTAGAATTAGTATAGAAGAAAGATTTAGATAAATTACTTACTGCCTACAGTGTGATAAATTATAGTTATACAAGGTTTACGATATTCAGTAGTAGCTTCTATTTTCTTTCGTTCTTTATTATTGATTCGTACATCAAGATCAGTTATAAGAATATCATTACTTAAAAACTTCCATTTCCCAAATGCGTGAAATGTATCCTTATCGGATTTATGCTATAAAATTATTTTTAAAGTTGTATTTGTTATATTAATATAACTATGACTAAACCAACAAAATTATTATATCACATTAATACTAGCAGAATTTACCATTGAATATACTTACCAAAACTTCGAAATTGTTATTTAGTGGTTCTATTTTTATAAATGATAATCCAGATTTTTTTCTACTGTAATTTGATGCAAATTCCCATAGAAAACCAGAACTTATCAGTTCTCTGGTGTAAGCGAAATGTGGGTTTATCAAAATATTCAGAAATCGGTAATCTAATCAAAATTAAAAAATATGTATACTATAGCTTATCTACCGGATAATCGTAATTAAAGTACCTCTATTCACCAGTGTCTAGAGATATATTTAGCAGTCCAAATGCAATATAATTTGGTATGGTGACATTTCAGGATACTCGGCATCGTGGCACTTTTGGAACTTCATACAAGAAATATTTTATTTGCATGACACTCGTGTTATAGAGAGGCCTTAGCGACTGCTCAATCTGGTCCCAATTCTGAAATTTAAAAAACCTGAAGGAGATGAACAGTGTGGTCAATACCGACCATATTTGATCTTCTGTGATGGTTTTCACATGAAGTGTGATGCTGTCTTTCGAGGCTACCAAATTTGCAGCATACTCTCGATAAACCATACTTTTGAAGTGTTCCCATAAATAAAACTTCTTTTTCATTGCTTACAGCGCCAAAACTGCTCTAGTGGCAAGTTTTGGTATTAGTTTTCCTTAGGAAAAGGTCTTCCGAAGGTCTTGAAATGTCACCAAACCAAATTTGGTTTAATTTGAACTGATAAATCTCTCTCTAGATGATATTGAATAGAAATACTTTAATTTTGATCACTCGAAACTATGTAGAATGGTTCAAAAATAGTGGTACAAGTAAAAATGATTCACGTAATGTCATAAAGTTTTGGTACTTTGTGATATCACAGAATATTCAGTTTCTTCGATTTATTCTTTATATTTATTTACTAATAACGCAAAACTTTTAACATCTGAATTAAAACGTCTCTATATACTTTATTTCAAATTTTTGAAACAATGCATTTTGAGGTTGCTTAGATTTCTATTAGTATTTTTGAACCACTCTGTGTATTCTACGTACACTAATTACAACATACCCTCTGAATTTAAAACGAAAGAAATGGTATTATTTCCTTGTAAATCCGGAGCAATGTTAGTACGAATATCGGCATAGATATTTTTTCCGCGATTATCAGAATAATCTAATGTAAAAGTTGTATAGGTAGAAAACATGTCCTCTTCCGTCTTAGCAAGCACATCAAATTCCGCTGAAATTGGCTAGAAAGATTGATTTTATGAAAATAAAATTATTAGTATAAAAATTCGCAATTTTAATGAAAACTTTATCAAAATTCTTTACCTTAGAAAGAGCTGGAGAGTTTAATTTAAGTTTAGAATCGACATGGTAAGTTATACCAACATATTCATATTTATAATAATAATCGAAAGAATATTTTCTATCGGGTTGTCTTTTAGCATCTAATAACAGTTCTGACGATATGTGAAAATCAAGAATTTCCGTCCGAAGACGACCTTGCGCTTTAATCACTCTAGATGGAAAATATATTTGTATTTGTCCACTCTTTGTCGGTAACCCAATGTCGTCGACATGTATATCGTATCCTAATTTTTTTTCGGGAGAAGCAAGAATAAACTTATGTTGATAATCATCTTTTTTCATACTTTTCAAGAATTCAAAAGACCAATCCTCTTTTCCGGGTGTTTTTATATTAATTTTGATTCCACGTACAACATCTGAAGTATAAGGACTATGCTCATTCTTCAATGAAATGCCAATTTCTACGCAATCAAAATTCTTGTATCTTCCTTTCCAACAGATATTAATTGCAGGCTTTATTATAGAATTTTCTCTACTAAAATTTAAAAGAACAAATGATGTGATAGCTCCACCGAAATTCAAATAACAACGTTTCTTTGCGAATGTTTCTTCACATTTTACATCCATATAAATAATTCGTTTTCCTTCGCCTTTTACTTCTAATTCTCCATTATGATCGGGTCGACCAGAATCAGTAAAAAATCTGGCGGAGAATTTTTCCTTTGAATTATTCTTGAAGACTACATCAATTTTTTTAAGTAAGTTGTTTATTTTACCTTTTATGTGACCCACAAACGCTGATGTTAAGTAACTTTCAATTACAATATTGCATTCGAAATTGTGTATGTTACGTCCTGAAAAACCACCACTCATATTTAATTTTTTTTTATCATTAATAAACAAATAGCCTTGAAGTGTGTAGTTCGGTGATTCCAAATTATATTCTATCTGAAATTTTGCATGTTGCATAATTTTGGATCTTGGTATTAAAATATTATATTGAGATACACCACCTAACTCTGTCGTTTCTGAATGGCCAAAAATAGACAAAGTTTTCCCTTCGTCTGTTATATAATCACCATTAAACTTAAGTTTATTAATAGAAAACTCTGAAGTCAGTCTGATTTCTCGTGTTTTAAATTCTTTAATAGGAGTTTTCAATGTTAAAGCCGCTTCTACAATTGAGAAACTAAAACTATTGAGTTCTGCACTTATAAGATATTGCTTATCAGAGGCTAAGTAGACTTCAAGTTCTGTTTTAAGGCTGATAAACTGTGAAAAATCTTGTATATGAGTAAGACGTATTTCTTTTCTATCCCATTCGGGATTGAATGAATATATACCAGCAACACATGATACTTCTCTGCGAGCTGTTTGAGTGAGCATCTTTCCTTTTATGTAAGCACGAAATATTTCTTCACCTTGAAATTCGGTAGAAAATTCCAATTTTAAAATGCTTTCGTCAATTTCATAGTGTAAATGAATGGAATATGTTTTTTCTTCTTTTACTTCCAAAATTAAATCATGAGGACCCAGCAAAATTCTGTTGCTTACTTTCACTTTTGAGTAAATAGATATATCGTTTTTATATTCAATTGTATTCATAATTATACAATGTTTACCAGACTGAATTTGCACTTCACTTTTGAATGCCAATCGAGCTGTTGGATCTCTGTCTGCATCCCAGCTTAGCTCTAGCTGAGTTACAGGATTTGGTTGTGTCCTCATAGTGAAATCACCTAATATTCTACGTTTGCTTTCTGGTCTACGTAAATCGAATTTTAATATTGTGTCTTCCCCACTAACATCGAATTCAACGCCACTCTTTCCATAATGTGGAATATCGACGTACAGCATACTTGATTCTCTTGGATCAATTTTAACATCTACTTTATAAGCAGGTTTTCCTTTATAACCTGTGGAACTTTTAAAATCAAAAGAATTTCCACTCATTTTTAATAAACCTCTGTATTCTACTGGGGAACGTAACCAAGGTGCAGAGAAATCAGTATCGATTTCGTGTTGGAAATAATTTATTTCTCTTTTGAGTTTGTATGAATATTCAAAAGTAAGTTCTTTATCTTTGTCCCATTGTAATTTTGATTTTCCTTTAAATTCATTCGGAGATACTTCTGTTAATTCATCAATATATTTTATAGTTCTATATGGATATTCCAAAATGAAATTAAGCATCATCTTCATCGGTTTTTCAGATATCAACGAAAACTCTAAACTGGATCTAAAGCGTACTTCTTTACTATTTTGAATTTCTGCATAGATGTAGAAGGCTGGTACTTCGGCATTGTATCTTACAGAGAATGACATTTCGTAATCAGCTCTGTATTTAGGGATTATTATTAGAACTCGTAGATTGTTTAATGTTATAAAGTTTTGAGGATCTTCTTTCTTAATTATAAACATTTGATGTAATAGGAAAATAGTTTCGTTATCGCTCTTTATTGTTAAATAATTTTCTATATCTTTTTTTGGTTTATATTGGAAATCCCACTCTATCTGAGAGTTGTACTTAGGAAACTGAGTAGATTGCAGATCAGCCTTACTTTTAAACATGGTAACGAACTTTGTGCTTAAATTTTCAATCTTGCAAGTACTTTTCAAACTGTGCTTTTGGTCCTTCTTTGTATGATAATTTATATCCAAATCATAAAATATTATTTTTTTATTTGCTTGTGCTAAACCATAAATTTGAACTTTTGTAAATGGAAGTTCAGTATAAAAATCTGTACTTAACTTAATTGTTTCACCATCTTGTTCTTTAATGATGCTTCCTAAAATTTGATTTTAAAATTTAATATAATTAATGAAATAGAAAATTATGATAATAGTAATAATAGTAATTCCAATTAGAGAAAGTGTTAAGTGTTTTAGTTACTCACCCGTAATTAGTACAGGGTACGGTGATTGTTTGTTAGAAAGTAAATTGACTGTAATTACAGACTTTTTCCCTTTTTTACGAATAACGGTACCTTTAATGAAAAACGGTTCTCGATTAGGATTAGATATTTCGAAATTTACGTGATGTTCGACGATATTTTCTGTATTATTCGTTTCAAATTCTGCAAGAAAACGCCAATTTTGTTTTCCACCAATATTCATTTTAAGATCAAAGATGTTCTTTTTGGGGATATTGAGTATATTCCCTAAAAAATAATATTTACAATAATTAATTGATTATTAATAAAAACACAACTTTTTAATGAAAAGTACTGATTAAATAACTTGCTTTTCATTTCCATTGCAATGAATGGCGTATACACCCGAAACGAATAAGATCGATTCTGATTGGTATCATAAGTATCAATAGTACCAGGAGTAACAATTTCTAGAGAGTATTTTCTATCTATCGATGAACCAGGAGTATCAAATTCAAATTTAAACTTTTTGTTGCTGTAAACCTGTTTAAAACAATATACATAACATAAATATTAATGGTGTAAAAGAAAATGAGAGTGTTTACAAATCTTACATTATTGTCTGGTAATTCAATATTCAATAGGATTCCCTTCAAAGAACGATCTTGTTTTTTAAGTGAAATTCCCGCTTCAAAAGGTTTAGTAAAGGGAATTTTTAAAGATATAAATGGAAATTTTGGTGTCAATTTGGTAGCGGGAAATGTCATATACGTGCAGATGTCGTAACCCATCACTTTTCTAAAAGTTTTCAAGCAATCTCGAATTCCCATAGAAGATGAGTTTTTTATTTCATTTCCATCTTTATCTATACGAATAACGTTGGTGCTAAAAAATAAATTATTTTAAACTATTATTTCACAAGCACAAATATATGTAAGATATGAAAGTATTATTATCATTTTGTACCTTACTGTTAACAAGTCCACGTTTTCCTCCGGTAGATCAATATTCATATTAAAAATACGTCCGTCTTTAATTGCTAATTTACCTTTAAGAACTGAACCACCATGTGCTTTAGCAACGTATTTAATTTTTGAAATTTTTAATAATGAATTATATCCTACGACTGCATTTAGTTCACTAGCAAAACTAAATAATTAAGAATTTATTAGCAAAATTCAATTTATTCAATAGCAATGTTTACTATAGTTTTTACCTGGTAACAAATTTTCCTTCAATATCAACATTTCGAGGAGATAAAAATATTTTTCTGATATCCAATTTTCCTTCTCCCTTCAGTCCGAGTATTGCTGATCCAGCAATATCGACAGTTAGAGCATTACCAGAAATACTAGGAAAAACATAAGAAGTATCCAGAAACAAACTATGAGCTGTATCAAGTTTTTGATTTCTTGCAAGCTTAAAAGAATTCACAAACTTATTAATGATTTAAAAGCAAAATTTTATAAACCTAACATAAACAAAAATTACCTTTGATATTATATCCATCACATCAATAAATTTTTCGATATTGAAATCAGTTTTTTCATCTACAGATAACCACATAAGTTCATTTCCCAGATATTTAAAATAGAGAGATCCATAAGCATCTGATGGCATGTTTTTCTTCGTCTTTAAAATAAAATAAATGTTGTTTTAAATAATATAAAATAAAAGTTTTAATGAATATAAATAACTCACAAACGCAATGAATGAATCAATATTAGATTGAAATTTATGTTTGAATGTTTCAGGCTGAGACCGTAATGATTGAAAGTTTTTCTTAGCAGCAGCAAAAGCATATTTCACAAATTCACTAAAAGACATATGATCAAATTCTGATATAGACGATAATGAATTCTTCAACCATTGATCGAAACCATCTAATCTTCCTCCAACCTATCAAAGAAAATTTTAATATCATCAATCTTTTTCTAAAATAATGAGATTTTTTATATGATACTCATAAAAACAAACTAACTTCCATAACATTAATGGATTTTCCATTAACGAACGAAGTAAAATTTGCCATGAAAGATCGAGGTATGACTGAATTTTTTGAGTAAATAATATTTGAATCAAATTCTCCTCCTAAATGCATGCGCTGAATGTAATTTGACAATTCAATATTTTGAGAATATTTCCTGATATCGAGTTGCTGAGGTTGGAATTGGAATTCGCTCACAATTCTTCTGATATTTTCTTTTTCGGGAGAAGAACTTTCTTGGAGGTTTGTTATATGAGAATAGACAAATGTTTTTACTAGAAAAGAAAACACATTTATAGTAATTTATTAAAAAATTAATCCAAATTCAAAAATGTGTTTTATTCATACTTTGATTGAGCCTTTCTGAGTCATAAACTTGTTGGATCCTTCTCACGAGTTTTCTATCTGCACATCTCATTGCACCTAGATAAGCCGCAATACGCACTTCAACAGGTTCATCCTGTCTAGAGAACATGTCCAATAACTTTTGGTTAACCTCTTCTTTGCACGGTGTTCGCCGGAATGCTTCTATTGCTGCTAATCGAATGGTGACGACATTAGATTTTTGTGATGAACATTCCAAAATCTGTCTCCACGCAGCTCCGTTTCGTCCCAAATTTCCGAAACTTTTCAAAGCTGCAATAACCTTTAAATAAAATATACGTCCTTATATTATTTAAAGTCATGAAATATTTGTATAAAATCTGAATAATTTCAATGTATTGTACTATAATAATAGACTTGTTATTACCTGTTTTATTTCTGTTGGTTGATGAACATTGCATCTATACCTCAAGTATCTGTTTAAAGAATTTATTACATCCTGAATAGCTTTTGAATGTTCACAGTTTGTATTTTTCATGCAATAATTATTGCACATTGCAGTAATCCCTAGAAGAGCTTGTGTTCCAGCTTTTTTGTAATCCAACAATGGCTAATGTAATCATTTAAAGATTCGTGTTAATTATTTTGATATCGTATTTTACGAGGTATTTAGAGATAATATTTACCACAACTGCTGAAATAGCTTCTTCGGTGGGATGTTTAATGAAAGCTAAACTGGTAACCCAAAGAGCTGCTTGAATTTTACTAATAGTTCTACTTTGAATCTTTCTCGTCATTATTTTGACAGAACCTTCGTGACCGATATGAGGTAATATATCGTCGGCAAGACGCCTGCAAATAGCATTTATATATTTATTAAATTTAAATATACACTCGTATTTTCGTAAAAACGTGTATTACTTTAACCAATCTGATGAGCATATTTCTCCATTATCCAATTTATTATAAATATTTTTTAATTCTTCTGATTTCACTTTGCGAAGAGATCGTACTAAATTTGCATAAAGTCCAGGTATTTCTGGATCAACTTTATTTCTTGGAAGAATTTTGGAACACATATCATGCAAGATTTGTAAAGATTCCTTATAAGCTGAATTCGAGAACGTGTGAGGTTGATGAGCGTAGAGTAAATGTTCTCTTCTATGAATTCTATCTATACAGAATTTAAATTATAATCAATTGTTTTTAATGTTTTAAAATTACATTCAAGACTTTTGTCGAAACGCATTAATATGAATTTCGAAAATTACTCTTATAAATTAGAAGATCTTAGATATTTAACGTCAATTCAAACATTCTTAGATGAGTTGATTATGTATATCATTTGTATTTGGATCTTTTTTTACGGGACATAACCAATCAGCTGATCTACCATACTTCATCTTTAATGACACTAATTACATATGAACATTATTTATATTTCGAAAACATACTATGCGTTTCGAAAGCTTTTGTTCTACAAGAAGAATCCTAGAATTAAAAAATGAAAAATATTACTTACAAGATGGCATCTCAGGTTTTTGTAAAATGCCTGTCAAACGAAGTTCAATTTTAGCATTTGACTTAAATTGTGAATCTTTTTCCGTGGAAATTGTAAATACGCAACTTTCGTTACACGAAGATTTTGTAATAATTTTTTCTTCAATAGTTTGCTCGCATTCATACATCTGTTCTATAATTGCAGTTTCCTATTTCATATTTGAAAGGAATTATATAGATATCATTTTATTTCAAATTGTATCTGTTTAAAAATTCATGCGCGAAATACTTACCGCCCCACGAAAAGATTCAAATGTCGTTAGTGACACTGAATTTCCATTTGAAATAGTCTCACAATTTCCTGGATTTTTAAATTTTCTGACTATAACTTTCTTTTTCTCCTTTTCCATAATCGCATAAGATGCCCAACATCTTCCAATGATATCATTCTTAAATTAAATTTTCAAATTTAATCAAAATTCAATAACTTAATTTCAATATTATAATTTAAATTCTAAATTTGTTATTTAATTACAATGGAGAAATTATATCAAAATAAATCCTTTTATTCAAATATTTAGATAAAATTAAAGATAAAATAATATTTTAAAATTTAGAAAATTAAAATATTTCATAATAAATTTGAATTAGAAATACTGTAATATCATATTTTAACTTTTAAAGATACTGGTATAATAAATAGAAATGCTTTCACGCTTAAGACAAAACTTTTCATTATTTTATTTTTATTATTAAATAAAATATTTTTCTAATTAATTAATCAACTGATTTCTTCATTAATTTAATAATTTTAATAATTAAAAAAAGTTAATCGCGTCGTTTTATATTAAAAAATATAAAGCAACGCAACGCAAGAGCAATCTGCCAAAGTGTCTCCTAGGAGAACTCTCTGTGTAAACTGGCCCCTACTTAAATGTTGACCCCTCTGGGGTCACTAGAGACAAGTTGTGAACTCCTCTATCATTACATATAATTACCTAAACACAATCAAATTGTTTTTACCTCAAGGACACTTTCGTCTTCTTCATCGAAATTTTTCATACTGTTTTGAAAGGCGGATAATATGGCTCTTTTAATATTAAGAACATTCCTTTTTTCTTCTGGTGCAGGACATATTTCACTAATTTTGCCATCTTCGAAGGAAAATGGAAGATCATGCCACGTTAATTCCCTTAATTTTTCTCTACTGATATCATTAGCTAATAGTTTTGTTTCATGAATCTATATTAAAAAAATAAAAATAATAATAATAATATTCGATAATATGTAAATTATTTATGTAGTGCAGTATTTATGAATAAATACGTTATTCAAGAAATTCAGATTAAAATATAAAAACACAAATTATCATAATGTAGAGAGATATAAAATATATTAATATAATAGGGGAAGATTGGAACTAATTGCAGCCATTAAATATACAATACATACCTATTTATATCTGTTTTAAAATCATACATAAAATTATTTTACTCTGATTTGTTTTATTACTAAAATGTACTTCTAAATGGATATACCACGTACGTGTCATTTAAATTTTCTTTTTTAACATTTGTAATACAAAATATAGTAGACTCAAGCCGCCTCGATACAGCGCCACCGTCAACGCGCCAATGAATACTCGCGAACCATAAATACAGGTATTAAACAAAGAATCCTTCAGTGTCTGTGAATCACTAAAATCAAATCCAGTTCTAGATTCAGTTCTAGATTCATTAGGCTTGCTAGGCAAGGATCTAGGGCGCTAGAGTTTGGGAACGCAAAAATTCAATATGCAATTTTTAATCATATTTTTAATTTATTTCATTTAAAAATTAGGCTTTGATTTTAGTAGTGTCTTGTCTCGGTACACCATACTTTTCCTGTTAACAATGGAGTCATACGAAACATCTATCTAACTCCAGAGAAAATTTTTGAATTGATTGTTGGGCTGCAATTTGAAAAAAATGTAGACCTATAAATTCCCTCTATCTGTCTTTCCTTATTCTCGAGAATGCAGTTAGATAGATTACAGACGAAACCATATATGAGAAGCTTAGAGGTAGGAGATCCAGATTAACTATATACAAACTTTCGGTTTGGACCGGAAATCATGTTATTTCAAAAACATTTTATTTATTACTACATCTTTGAGAGTGATATCATTTCATGTTTTACTTTCGCTATTTCGTTTCCATATACAAAAGAATAATGTTTTCTATTTTTCTCTATTTGTTGACTCAGTTCTGGAACCATCTAGTCCAACAAACTAAGCAGTTTCGAGGAAATGTTTAACACTCGAAACATTTTCAACATTCCCACTTCAAAGAGGCAGAAATAGCAACTAAAATTTGCATAAAATGTTTGTACGACACAAAAAATCCAGTGTCATTCTGAATATTTCTATGAAAACTATACGAGTTTATGATTATAATTTATCGACATATACAGTGTGTGTATGTATATATATACTGTAGGTCTATATGTATTAAGTTGTGCCTGATTTATGGATCACCATGTATAAATTATTAAATCATTCTTACATCAATATGCTAGCATAATTTTAAACAATATAATTAATTAACATTTTTTATTTTAGTAGTAAATAAATGACTAACCTTAAGTATCATGTCACAAGTATCTCTTTTTATGATTTCTACTTTAGCAGACATAGCTATAGGTTTTAAACGTCCAAGTTTATCCCAATAAATTACATTCGAACTTTGAAAATCATAAAAGTAAGACGTGTGATCTTTGTAGTCGAATTTGTGGCAAGCTATTCAAATATATAAAATTGTTTTAAAATAACAATAAAAAAATTAAATCTAGTTTTAATTTAGTGAGATTTACTTAACTTTAAATAAACATTCAATCATTTTTCAACTTAAATATATAATTTAAATCGTTTACTGCTATATACAGTCGACCCCCCATAACACTGTTGATAATTCCGTTTTATATGAATTCCATGTTGTACGAGTCACTTAGATTTTACAAATACGTGTGCGTGAACGGCTCACGTATTTGTAAAATCTAAGTGACTCGTACAACATGGAATTCATATAAAACGAAATTATCAACAGTGTTATAGGGGGTCGACTGTACAATATAGGGAAGACCGTTCCACGTCCGGATACTTTTGGTTTAGAATTGTTTGTTGTAAATTAAAGCTGTAAGAGGAAAACAAATTATACACTGCCACAGCACTGTCCATTGTCCAACTTTTAAAGCTACCATTTCGTCAGTAAGTTCCCCAAAGACACTTAAATGGTAAATCGTCCAATCATGGAACAGGATAATACATAATCAGACAGTGGCATTCCACTTTAGGACATAGATTTCAGGCCAAAGAAAATTCTAATATCATGCATATTTTGTAAAAAATTTAAAACTATTATCCTCCCATTAAAGTGATTACAAAATGACTCGAGAATCAAAGGAGTGACACTCGTTTGACAATATTAAAATTTTGAATATGTAATATCCACTATTCGCTTAAAAGCATAAGCTACACATGCTATGTTTTAATATAAGCCAACTTTGACGTATTAAAAGAGACATTAAATAAAAACATTGCTGACACCAAAATAGATGAAGAAACTAGAAGTATTGGCGATGACGACTTGGCAAATATGTCATTTAAGTCGACTATTGATAAATATTTCTTTTCATCTTTGATTGCAAATACGTGGTATTCATGAACGATTTTTCTATGCAAGGTATGTCATCAGATGCAGACTCATCTTGTATTTTTAATCAGGTAACACTTTGGCAATTGCATTTTAAAGATCACTAATCACCTAGAAAACCTATTAATGAAGTAAATATAGCTCTTAATAATGATTAATTTTGAAAGATTCAACGTTGATGCAATCTTGTTCCAGCAGTTGACGCAATTTCCACTACCAGAAGCGTCTGCTAATGGAACGGTATGTACTATCTGGTGATGGAAACGGATTTTTTGCTGTGATAGTGACAAAACTCGTGATTGGACAACACGTAATAATAAAGACCTATAAACACCCCAATAGACATATTTCTTCACGGCTTAGTCTCAATAGGAATGCTGCAAAACATGCTCATTTACAAGTGTCGCCTGAAAAAGTTAAACAAGACCCTTCACACACGGTTGCTCCATCTTGCTGAAATTAATATCACAGATTGCTATTTAACAATAAATACGTAAAGTCTCTTAATGAGACACAAGTCGCGAAATTTACATGGAACGGTCTCTCCTAATGTATTATTAATGTAATATAGTATTTTATCGATAATAATTACAAAAAAAAGAAATATATTTTACATAGTAAAATTATAAGCGAAGAATACAAAAAATGTATTCACAACCCGCTGTTTCACTGTTACCATTGACACTAAAATAACACAAATCTTCACTTACAGAGGCGATCTTGAGATTTTTTTTTCTTATATTCTTCACATACAATTTTACGATGTAAATTACCGTCGGACATTTTTAATAAACTATGAAAATATACTTTAATTTTCTTTTCAGAATCCATGGAGTTTTAAAGTAAATAATCTTATATTTGATTATTGTGTAAACTGGCCCCTACTTAAATGTTGACCCCTCTGGGGTCACTAGAGACAAGTTGTGAACTCCTCTATCATTACATATAATTACCTAAACACAATCAAATTGTTTTTACCTCAAGGACACTTTCGTCTTCTTCATCGAAATTTTTCATACTGTTTTGAAAGGCGGATAATATGGCTCTTTTAATATTAAGAACATTCCTTTTTTCTTCTGGTGCAGGACATATTTCACTAATTTTGCCATCTTCGAAGGAAAATGGAAGATCATGCCACGTTAATTCCCTTAATTTTTCTCTACTGATATCATTAGCTAATAGTTTTGTTTCATGAATCTATATTAAAAAAATAAAAATAATAATAATAATATTCGATAATATGTAAATTATTTATGTAGTGCAGTATTTATGAATAAATACGTTATTCAAGAAATTCAGATTAAAATATAAAAACACAAATTATCATAATGTAGATAGATATAAAATATATTAATATAATAGGGGAAGATTGGAACTAATTGCAGCCATTAAATATACAATACATACCTATTTATATCTGTTTTAAAATCATACATAAAATTATTTTACTCTGATTTGTTTTATTACTACTAAAATGTACTTCTAAATGGATATACCACGTACGTGTCATTTAAATTTTCTTTTTTAACATTTGTAATACAAAATATAGTAGACTCAAGCCGCCTCGATACAGCGCCACCGTCAACGCGCCAATGAATACTCGCGAACCATAAATACAGGTATTAAACAAAGAATCCTTCAGTGTCTGTGAATCACTAAAATCAAATCCAGTTCTAGATTCAGTTCTAGATTCATTAGGCTTGCTAGGCAAGGATCTAGGGCGCTAGAGTTTGGGAACGCAAAAATTCAATATGCAATTTTTAATCATATTTTTAATTTATTTCATTTAAAAATTAGGCTTTGATTTTAGTAGTGTCTTGTCTCGGTACACCATACTTTTCCTGTTAACAATGGAGTCATACGAAACATCTATCTAACTCCAGAGAAAATTTTTGAATTGATTGTTGGGCTGCAATTTGAAAAAAATGTAGACCTATAAATTCCCTCTATCTGTCTTTCCTTATTCTCGAGAATGCAGTTAGATAGATTACAGACGAAACCATATATGAGAAGCTTAGAGGTAGGAGATCCAGATTAACTATATACAAACTTTCGGTTTGGACCGGAAATCATGTTATTTCAAAAACATTTTATTTATTACTACATCTTTGAGAGTGATATCATTTCATGTTTTACTTTCGCTATTTCGTTTCCATATACAAAAGAATAATGTTTTCTATTTTTCTCTATTTGTTGACTCAGTTCTGGAACCATCTAGTCCAACAAACTAAGCAGTTTCGAGGAAATGTTTAACACTCGAAACATTTTCAACATTCCCACTTCAAAGAGGCAGAAATAGCAACTAAAATTTGCATAAAATGTTTGTACGACACAAAAAATCCAGTGTCATTCTGAATATTTCTATGAAAACTATACGAGTTTATGATTATAATTTATCGACATATACAGTGTGTGTATGTATATATATACTGTAGGTCTATATGTATTAAGTTGTGCCTGATTTATGGATCACCATATATAAATTATTAAATCATTCTTACATCAATATGCTAGCATAATTTTAAACAATATAATTAATTAACATTTTTAATTTTAGTAGTAAATAAATGACTAACCTTAAGTATCATGTCACAAGTATCTCTTTTTATGATTTCTACTTTAGCAGACATAGCTATAGGTTTTAAACGTCCAAGTTTATCCCAATAAATTACATTCGAACTTTGAAAATCATAAAAGTAAGACGTGTGATCTTTGTAGTCGAATTTGTGGCAAGCTATTCAAATATATAAAATTGTTTTAAAATAACAATAAAAAAATTAAATCTAGTTTTAATTTAGTGAGATTTACTTAACTTTAAATAAACATTCAATCATTTTTCAACTTAAATATATAATTTAAATCGTTTACTGCTATATACAGTCGACCCCCCATAACACTGTTGATAATTCCGTTTTATATGAATTCCATGTTGTACGAGTCACTTAGATTTTACAAATACGTGTGCGTGAACGGCTCACGTATTTGTAAAATCTAAGTGACTCGTACAACATGGAATTCATATAAAACGAAATTATCAACAGTGTTATAGGGGGTCGACTGTACAATATAGGGAAGACCGTTCCACGTCCGGATACTTTTGGTTTAGAATTGTTTGTTGTAAATTAAAGCTGTAAGAGGAAAACAAATTATACACTGCCACAGCACTGTCCATTGTCCAACTTTTAAAGCTACCATTTCGTCAGTAAGTTCCCCAAAGACACTTAAATGGTAAATCGTCCAATCATGGAACAGGATAATACATAATCAGACAGTGGCATTCCACTTTAGGACATAGATTTCAGGCCAAAGAAAATTCTAATATCATGCATATTTTGTAAAAAATTTAAAACTATTATCCTCCCATTAAAGTGATTACAAAATGACTCGAGAATCAAAGGAGTGACACTCGTTTGACAATATTAAAATTTTGAATATGTAATATCCACTATTCGCTTAAAAGCATAAGCTACACATGCTATGTTTTAATATAAGCCAACTTTGACGTATTAAAAGAGACATTAAATAAAAACATTGCTGACACCAAAATAGATGAAGAAACTAGAAGTATTGGCGATGACGACTTGGCAAATATGTCATTTAAGTCGACTATTGATAAATATTTCTTTTCATCTTTGATTGCAAATACGTGGTATTCATGAACGATTTTTCTATGCAAGGTATGTCATCAGATGCAGACTCATCTTGTATTTTTAATCAGGTAACACTTTGGCAATTGCATTTTAAAGATCACTAATCACCTAGAAAACCTATTAATGAAGTAAATATAGCTCTTAATAATGATTAATTTTGAAAGATTCAACGTTGATGCAATCTTGTTCCAGCAGTTGACGCAATTTCCACTACCAGAAGCGTCTGCTAATGGAACGGTATGTACTATCTGGTGATGGAAACGGATTTTTTGCTGTGATAGTGACAAAACTCGTGATTGGACAACACGTAATAATAAAGACCTATAAACACCTCAATAGACATATTTCTTCACGGCTTAGTCTCAATAGGAATGCTGCAAAACATGCTCATTTACAAGTGTCGCCTGAAAAAGTTAAACAAGACCCTTCACACACGGTTGCTCCATCTTGCTGAAATTAATATCACAGATTGCTATTTAACAATAAATACGTAAAGTCTCTTAATGAGACACAAGTCGCGAAATTTACATGGAACGGTCTCTCCTAATGTATTATTAATGTAATATAGTATTTTATCGATAATAATTACAAAAAAAAGAAATATATTTTACATAGTAAAATTATAAGCGAAGAATACAAAAAATGTATTCACAACCCGCTGTTTCACTGTTACCATTGACACTAAAATAACACAAATCTTCACTTACAGAGGCGATCTTGAGATTTTTTTTTCTTATATTCTTCACATACAATTTTACGATGTAAATTACCGTCGGACATTTTTAATAAACTATGAAAATATACTTTAATTTTCTTTTCAGAATCCATGGAGTTTTAAAGTAAATAATCTTATATTTGATTATATAATGAGCATATCAGAAATGTCCTAGATCTAATAGCTTTCTGGTACACAAATATATTTAAAAATATATAAAATAAACGTTAAAAAATTCTATTATATTTTAAAAATAAAATTTAATTAAAAAATAGAGATTGTTTACTTTATACAAAGTAAACTCAGTGGAATGAATCATTTGTAATAAATTTTTTTGAGGCCTCTATAACTATAGGACTTAAGCCAAAAAAAATGGTCCTAATGACTTCCTGTAAGAGGGCCTGAATATGGAAATCAGCAAAAATGTTCATAAAAAATCATAGAAATGATTTTGAAAGATAATAAATTCCTAATATAATTTATAAATTAATTATAATTTAATATATGTGATCATAAATTAACAACCTTGTAAATCTATAACATTTGATAAATTTAATTGATTAAATATAGACATATGATGGGTTTATAGATTATAATTTATTTCAATATGTCATTCGTCTGTTTATTATTTATAAACAAACTCAAAAAAGCTGACAAATATTTTAAAACAGCATATTAATTTAAAGAAAGACGAAAATTTATGTAAAATCCATAGATTTTTATCAGATTTAATAATAACCTTGAAAAGTATTTCACTTCATTTTTTACATTTATATGATTATTATGCATATTTTAATCTATGTAATAAATCATTTATTTATCAAAAATAGTGCTGTTAAATTTTAAAAAATCTTACTAGTTACTTATTATTATTGCTATTTTTTTTATTGAAGCTGCAAAATCATAAGTAATTTTCGGTGCCAAAGTCCGTAATTTTTAACTATCTTTTGATTTTATCAATTAAACTTCTTTGACACTATCAACTTTCCCTCTCAACTACATCAATATTTTAAAACTGATACATTTTTAGCACAGTATATCAAAATGGTTCTTTAACAAATGCAACTTGTAGAATTAATTTTTTAAAATAGAAGTTATTAAATATTTTTCTGAAATTATTCAGTTAAAATATTGAATAACGTACTGTACATAATAATGTAGCCTTTGATGTATTTATTATTAGTGATTATGAAGTTAATTATGGCGTAAAGACTCTCAAAGTTCTAATCTAAACGTAATTTTATGCATTCATCACTAAAGGTCACTTAATTATCATAATAAAATTATCAAATTTTCTTATATACTCATTCATTGCTTTAGATTGTTTTCTTGTTTTGAATAATTTTATAAATTTTCTTGTAATTTATGCAAAAACACAGCTTTTAAAATATTGTTAATTCAACAATTTCGTTTTATCTTAATAGCTAAAATAATTTTATTATAAAAAATAACAAT